AATTGATTTATAGACTCACACACCCTATACCTTCAATCATTACAAGGACGGGTCAAAAATCAACTGTAAAAGGGAATAGGATTGTGACCACATTCACTCCACCTCTCTGAATCAATGTCTAAGCGAAGCATATTTCTTCCTTTCATTTCGTACTATCTTTTATCATATGCGTTATCGGTTCTGATCATGCAAAGTTTATCTCTTCTCTCTGCCCTTTTTTCTTTCTTCACTCACTATCTTATCTGTTTTTTTTCTTTTGTGCCAAGGTACTCGATGCATCATTTTTTTCGCATTCAAACATCGTTAGGCGGCGAATAACGAATAAATCTTTCGCCTTAGATCTATAGTAGACGTTTTAGCTACATTATTTACATTAACAAGGCAAAGAACATATTTTCTATGCTGTCGCCGTTCGCCATCAATCTGGTAGATCTTTCACCAGAGGATCCATATTATCAAAAGGGACTTTCTACTTACATGTCATTGGTAAATATGCATGATACACTTGCCTACTTTAATGACAACATTGATAAATATGTTTCGGACACAACCCATTGTTAGTGACTATCCGTAAAGAACATACGATGCTTGCACTTTTCATCCTCTTATTTCAGTTCAAACATTTGATGATATAGTATTTTGAAGCAAGTGTAGTATGGAGAGTGTAGCTCGTGTTTTTAGTCCTGATAGAATACGTTCATTCTGTATAAGCCCATGGCGCTTGTTATCTGTTGGCTGTGGCGATGGTCAATTTGATTTGGATCTGCTCGACATAATTGCTCGACGTTTTCCTCTACTTGATATTGAATATGTTGGTCTTGAACCAAATCAATACCGGCTCGACTTATTCAAAGAAAATATTTCGTCATATTCATCCGTATCTCACTACCGTTTTCATTTGAAACAGATCGATCTCGATGACTATGAGAAGATACAGAAAGATGAGAAATTCGATCTGATTCTATGCATACAAGTATTGTATTTTATGCACGATTGTCTTGAGTCGACGCTTGCACGACTTATCAACAGATTAACAGTAAAAGGAAAGCTGCTTGCTGTTCACAAATCCCCAAGTGGTATGGCTCAAATCATTCATGCTGTAGGACTCGACCAACAGTCACCTATTTTTAAATGCAACACTTATCATTTGCGACAAGCTTTGGAGAAACTTGTTTCTCAGATGCCTTCCTTACACTTTGATATAATCTATCTCGACAATTACGTGGACATCGGCTGTCTAAAAAATGTCAATTCGAATGAGGAGTCCGAACGTGAGAAAGCATTGAGCTTACTCAGCTTCTTTTTTGGCAAGAAGTTGCCGGAAATCGATGGAAAACTATTGGAAAAGATGGTTTTCGACCGCATCCTGCCGTGCATCGC